ACGATTATTTCATAATTGGATCAAAGATGGTCGACTGCAGCCATCTGTTTTTGAAAATGTGTATTTTGGACATGCTTTGTCAGTTGTCATTCAAACTTGGTACATAGATTATACATGTTAGGATACATGTCCATGACGATTTGTTTCGCAATTGGATCAAAGATGGTCGACTGGCAGGCATCTTTTTAATGCGGTATCTTGGACGTGCTCTGTCAGTTTTCATTCAAATTTGGCACATACATGTTCTTTATACATGTTAAGATGCATGTCCATGACAATTTGTTTCAAAATCTGGTCAAGGATGACCGATTGACAGCCATCTGACTTTTTGGCCTTACTACTATATTTCCACAATTTATGTACCATTTTCATTCGTATTTGGCACATACATCGTACATATCAGTGTGTTTCATAATCAGATCAAAGATGGCCGAATAACGACTGTTTTTATTTTTGGCCATATTACTACTACAAGGAACACGTGTTTTGATGTAAATAAACAATCTGTTGTATACGCCAATTGGAACTCAAGTTTCAAGGACACGCTCGCGACAACCCCTCCGCTTTAATTTGACGAGCAGAAGGAGATCTTTCAATAATTTAACGGGGACTGTGTCATTTTCAATGACTTGTTGGATATGACGTGTGTTCATTCAGCTATTAGGATAAACAAACAATGAAGTCAGCTGTGAACATTATTATTTAAAATATAAATACATGAATGTGGTCACTGTTGTTAAAAAAAGCTTGTTCTTAGTGATAATTGAACATTGGAATTCCAAGAATCCAAAATAAATGCTATTTTCCCAGTCAACGCATGTTACTGTTGAAGATCAAGTTTCTAGAGGTCCAAGTGAACACCGTTATCCATCACTTCATCTTACCACTATGTTACTCTATCTTACTATTTCTAGAGATGCCAGTAGACATTATTAGTCCCCGTTCACACGCAGTTTGAAAACGGGGACTTATGTTTTGACCTCTGTGCGTCTGTGTGTCCATGCGTGCGTGTGTGTGTGTCCGGACCTGTATCATAGAAATGCCTGGACCAATCACAATCAAACTTCACACATACATCATACATGACATTATACCTATGCAAATCAATTTGTTTCACGATCTGATTCAAGATGGCCGAATGGCAGCCATTTTTGTACTGAAAAATCATCAAAATTAAGCATTTCTCGGCTGTTTACAGATGGATTTTGTTCAAACTTGGTATATACATTGGACATTATAGGACCTTGATGCACATCATTTTGTTTTTCAGATAAGATTCAAAATGGCCGACTGGCAGCCATTTTGTTTTAAGGATTGTAGTTCTAGTGCTATATCTCTGACTTGCTTTGACTGATTATGTTCAAATTTTAAATATTCATTATACATCATGTCATAGATATACAGATATATTGGTTTGACGATCCTATTATAAATGGCCGAAAGGTAGCCATTTTTCTGCTAAAAAAAATCATCAAATATCAAGCATTTATGAATGGATTTCGATCAAACTTATAACATACATTAGGCATTACAAGTTCCTGATGCACGTCATTTTATTTTTCAGATCGGATTCAAAATGGCTGACTGGCGGCCATTTTGTTTTAATGAATGGGCTTCTATAGCCATATATATTCATTGTACATCATGTTATAGATATATACATGTATTCAAAATGGCTGATTTTGTTTAATTATAAATGCTGTTCCAGAGCAATATCTCTCAATGTCGATAAGTACTCGTTTGATGATCAGATACAAATGTCAATCATTTTAATGTTAAACAATCATCATAATCATATTCCTGACATGGTTATATTCCAGCTATATTACTATAAACAAAACTATATATCCTAAATTCAATAACTAATGGGGACTGTGCCATGCATGGCTTGTTAGTCCCTGTTCGGACGAAGTCCGTGCATCAGTTTGTGCGTCTGTTCGGAGTCATATTTCAGAATCCTTTGGACCGATTCTGTTCATTCTTTGTATGTGCCTAGTACTTTATGTGGGACATATACACATGCAGTAGTTTAGCGATTTGATTCAAAATAGCTGACTGGCAGCCATCTTGTTTTTTGAAAATGTTGTATTTTGGACATGCTTTGTCAGTTTTCATTCAAACTTTGTACATAGATTGGACATGTTAGGATACATGTCCATGACAATTTATTTCGCTATTGGATCAAAGATGGCCGACTGGCAGCCATCTTGTTTTTTGAAAATGTTGTATTTTGGACATGCTTTGTCAGTTTTCATTCAAATTTGGCACATACCTTATACATGTTAGGATACTTGTCCATGACAATTTGTTTCGAAATTGGATCAAGGATGGCCGATTGACAGCCATCTGACTTTTTGGCCTTACTACTATATTTTAGATTTATGTACCATTTTCATTTGTATTTGGCACATACATCATACAGTTTGTTTCATAATCAGATCAAAGATGGCCGAATAACGACTGTTTTTATTTTTTGTCATATTATTATATCTCTGTCACCCATGTATCATTTTCATATGATGAGCACAAAGAGAACTTTCAAAAATTCAACTGTCTTACCACAATGTTACTCTATCTTACTAATTCTAGAGATCCAAGTAGACGCTATTATCTATAAATTTATCTTACCACAATGTTATTGTATTATTGACTATTTAGTGGAAAGCTCTTTCAATTATAAGCAACTTGTTAAAAGTTAAATGTTTGTGAATTGTACTGACCAAAACCTGACGTAGTTTGGCGAATATTGACTACTGTAACAATAAATTCTGTCATTTATTGCTTTTTTGAATTCCTCTTTTGGTGCTCGCTAAACAAGATTCATCTAAGAAGTACATGATGATGTTTGAAGTTCAAGTATTAAAAATAGTCACCTTATGAATTCAAAAGGGAGGCACCTTCAAATAACTACTAATATGTAGAAAACAACTTAAGAATCTGGTGTACATCTCACACCAATCTTAGTAGGAAAGGCTTCTCATAAAATTTTGTGATATCAAGTAACTTGACACTCTAAGATGCTGAGAAATCCA